CTCTCTAAATCTTTAATTTTTTTTTAAATCGTTAGTGACATGACATTGACATTTTGCTCACCGATCTTCCATTAATTGTTTCATTGTTTCTCATTTTGTGAAGAATACTGTCTATTTTTACAATTTCATTACCTATCTGAAAAACTAATACTAAATCATAATATAGCTTAGATTACAATGTCCAATAACGTGACTCCCTTAGCGGGAACAGCACATTTACTGGATGAACTGGATAGTATGTGTCGGTTTTGCCGCATAGAAATTTTGTTATTTTAAAGTTTTTGCTGATGAAATTGGTTGTTGTTTCATAAAGAGAAGTTGATGGTGCTACTGCGCGACGGCAGGACGTTGATTGGTTATCTACGCTGCGTTGACCAATTTGCCAATTTAGTATTACACAAGACTATTGAGAGAATTCATGTGGGGCAGGAGTATGGAGACATTCCAAGAGGAATATTCATTGTTAGAGGCGAAAATGTGGTACTTTTAGGCGAAATAGTGAGTATTGTGTCGATATACTTATATTATTTTATGAAGATCAATTTCATTGCGCCTGAAATATGTTGTTTCTCTTCTATAGATATGCTGACTGACAGAAAATAGTTTTATTGCTAATGCATTCATCTGCATTTTTTTTTGGTATAAGTTTGACACTTTTCAGGATAAAGAAAAAGAAGAGAACTTGCCCCTTACAGAAGTTTCAGTAGATGATATTCTTGATGCCCAAAGAAGAGAACAAGACGCCAAGATTGAACAACAGAAACTTCTATCAAAAGCCCTTAAGGAGCGAGGACTCAATTTACTGGCTGATTTAGGACATGATGATATGTTTTAAGATCCTCAGTTAGTGTTTTCTGTGATTGTAAAATTTTTTCTTTATTTAAGACTGTAATTTTATCAAAGTAAATATAAAAACAACTTTATAAAACAGTTTTTTTTTGATTAACATTATTATTTATAAAGGTTCACATACAAAGACACTATGAGAGACAGCATCAAATGTTTTGCCTGACCCTGACAATTTGGTATTATATAGGTACAGTCAAGAGCACATCAAGCTTGACACTTTGTACTTTGGGCCGTTCTTATCGCAAGCGGCATAGAGTTGGATTTAAGTCTCAAGTGTCAAGCTTGACGTGCTCTTGACCCTGTACCTGTGTCCTAATTTGGGTCACAAAGTTTATTGGTAAGTAATATGAGGGATATCATTAGAGGTTTCTGCATAAATCAAACTATATTTATACTCTTAGGTGACCCAGAAGTACCTAATAGTCGAAATGAGGAAGTGGGGTCGAATATTTCTTATTGATTTGATCTGTACACAGACTTGTGATGGGTATAGGAATGAAATGAAACTACATTTATTGCAACTGTGATTCAAAATTATTTAGAAATATATTTTAGAATAATATTTAAAATTTCTGAAAATTAGTTTATCAAGAGAAATTAGTTCTCCTAATTCCGTTTTGACCTACAAGTCAAAACGGAATTAGGGCCGTATAAAAGATAAATAAAATCGTATAAAATATATAATCGTATAAAAGACCCCAACAATATGGCAACATTGCGTATAGAAATCCGTAATTTCGTTTCGAAACTGACTTGATAGCATTTTCCAGTAAAATCGAATCAGATGTTTTGTTTACTTATTTTACGGTACATATTTTATTTGAATAACATTAGTTACTTAAGTTTTGTTTAGGTTCGGTTCATATCGTTTAAACTTCCCCGTAAAAATTTGGTAAAGTTACTTAAATAAAGTGTTGTTATTTTTAAACGAAAATCTAATTGTCAGTCACATTTTGTTTTGCATCCCAGCATAGATCATACACTCTACCCCAAAGAAAGATAATAAAATCAGTCAGTGACCCCTGGAATAATGGAAAGAATACGGAATTGTGTGATTTCCATCGTGAATTTAATCCTTTCTGCGATATTTTACTTTTAAAAGTGAAATAGGAGCTCAAATAAATCATGGAAAACGAAAGTTTCAGTGATAAAGTTGAGGCTTATTTTTCGGAACTTGGGCGATGGCTAGTATCACGTATTGTGTTAATTTGTTCGTTTTCGTGAGAATGTTGATTTATATATTTTTGGTATTTCAGGAAAGTGTGGCGATGTATAATTTTAGGGCAAGCGTTGTCCCTGCTTCTCAGTTGTAAGTGCATTTTGACGACTTTGCTCCAGAGTGCTACATGGCAATTTCCGACTACTGGACAGCTCGTAGTTCCGTATTTAATCCTCTTCATACTCTTCACGCCTACCTTGCTTTGCAACGGTGTCAACAAGTTATCCAAGTAAGTTCAACATATTTTTTGTTTGTTTTTAGCTGTGGTCCTTATTATTATTATTTTTTATTTTGTATTCTTTTTCTATCTGGGATCTTTTTTCTGATATGTTTTAGATTTTGTGCATTGTTCTAGTAATCATCATCTATAATTTACTAAAAACGAATAAATCTATGTTTGATTTACCCGCACACTTGTAGGTGACAACTCATTTTTAGTGGTAGTGATGAGTCTGTTTTCTTGCTCTTAGCCAGTTGGTCCTGCATCGTAAGGTTGCTTACTTATTTATTGCTTTTATACGCTCAGTTTATGTTAGACATCTATTGATATAACCAAGGCAACATGCAATGATTTTGGTAGTCACTTCTTTCCAGGGTTCAAAGTGATAATTATCATCATATTTATCATGGTCATTATCTTGATGAATATACCTTGAAAAGTATTTTGATATTTATAAAATTAACTGGAACAACCAAATGCTACCTCTGGCAGTGTCGTGACACATGTTTGTATCCAAAACATATCCAAACTTGTCAAATATTAATCTCTAAAAGTCACAAATTAAATTGTTTTCTTAAAGATTTTTCTTCATGTTTACAGCATTCTCAATCTTACTAGAAATGTCTAGTCCAAAAAAAGAGACAAAACTATGAATTAGCCTGGATAATTATCAAATATGTATCCGATCATTATCAGAATATGTTGATCAATTCGTAATTTTGAATCCTGATGTAGTATAAAAGTGACCTCAATTTTGTAGAGCTGCTCCAGATGTCTATTAGGCATATTAGGATTTTTGGTGTCGGAGAGAGAATCATCTGCTTATGTTGCTGTCATTATACCATTTGCGCTGCTAGATCAGAATAAAGATGGATTGATTATAGTACCAGGCTTAAAACAGATTTGTGAATATGATTTTAGTAATGTACAAATTATTGTTATTTTTTATAATGTCAAGTGATGGGACAAACAAATAGTGCGCCAGATGGTAAGCTATACGCCTGACCATAACAGCCTGACCCTAAATCTAAAAGATCTGAGACTGCCACTGCGCCCATCATCCTGAGACATAAGTTGACAAGTTGCATGTGCCTGTAATTTCGTCAGCAACCTTACCCTCCAAACCCAGACCACAGTAATGCTGACATTACTATTGTTTTATTACTTAGCTACTGTGTCAAAGGTTTGTTGTATGCCTAAGAGTGTAGTAGCAGTAGAGGTTCTTGTGAAAGAGTTCGTTCAGGGAAGTACTGCGTTCGAGTTTTGAAGGGTACGGGTGCTGTTGAAATTACAGACACATGGGATTTTTCAACTTACGTCTCAAGTTGGTAGGCGCAGAGGCAGTGCACCTTAGATCTTTACAATTTAAAGCTCTTGAGTGGCACTGCAACTATTATAGACACACAACTGTCAAGTTGTGCACCAGATAGTGAGCATGGCGTGTTACTCACCATCTGGTGCACAACTTGATCGTTCCGTGACTTAGTATCACAAAAAAAAGAGTAGCTTGTTACACAGTTGAATGTTGCTGCATTTATACAGACTGATTATCTTTATGATTATTATAATTATGATTTCTTTATCAAGCTTCAGTGTCAATCTGCAAGTAAAATTTTTCACCTTGCATCAGGTAGCAAATTAAAAGGTGGTGCATCACAGTTCATTTACATTTGGAATATTTAATCAAAGATCAAAATACTCCAAAAAAAGAAAAATTTAAAAAGGGTTCTTTGGTAAGATACACACATTTAGCAGAACAACAAAGTGAAAATATAAAACAGTAAAAAAAAAAAAATTATTGAAATGTAACTTATATTTAAATAAATAAAAATTAGACATAGTAGCAATTAAATCATATCTTTTAACACTACTATAATAGTACAGTCTTACCCAACTTATATTGAAAAAAATATTAAACAAAATTGTTATTATTGGATATTGTGACAAAGCACAAACATATCGAGTTCTTAGGTTTTCGCGATTGTAACACATAGGAAATGAAACTATTTTTCCGGATTTAAATCGCGTATATTTGTTTTTTCAAACAAACCGACGTTTCGGGCCCTTTACACGTCCCATGGTCACGGTTGACCATGCATGAAGCACAAACACCAGAAAAATTTAAATTTGTGGCAGTTTAACATTGATTATATCGAGATTTAGTAAATTAATAAAAGTTTAATAACAACCAAAGTTTATAAAAATTGAAATAAATTAAAACAAATGAATTAAAAAAGTGCTGCCAACTATTTTTTTCATTTTTAAATTATACTAATATAACTACAACTAATTATATAACTGCCTCCGTGGCCGAACGGTTACCATGCGGGACTGCCACGCAGAGGTCCCAGGTTCGATTCCCGGGCCGGGAGAAGTGTTTGTATGGCCAACATTTATTTCTCTCGTGAGTTTGGGTGTAATTTGTGGTTGTCATGTGTGTGTTCATGGCACCCGCGACACAGGGTTTCCATAGTGCGGGGCTATGTTGAGTGTGTGCGTTATTTATTTATACCTAAGTTAAAAAAGTAATTTTACTGACCAGACTTTTGAAAAAATATCAACATTATTTTTGGGAAAATTCTAATGTTCCCTAAATTTGCTAATGTGTGTAAATGTGACATTGCACAATATACTCCTCTAAAACTTAAATCCCAATTTCCAGAAGATGGTGGATCCTCATAATGGCCTGTATACTGGATGTAGAAGCAGGCTGGTTGTTGGTGACATCTCAACGCTTCACGTCCGTGCTCAGCTGACAGTTGTTAGCCTGCAGTGGTGTTGGAGCTGCACTGGTAGGCGGAGCATGGCGTGGACAGAGGCTAGGGGTGCCGCATGTTGCTGGAGCCACACTTGGTTTAATGGCTGTTGTTTGTGTTGTCTGGGCTGATGTGGAGGGAGCCCCTACTGATGGTGAGAGTTAATGATACACTCAAAACATGTACATTGTTGTCCATACAATATATATTATTTACAATTATTATTTCTGGTAAATTTAATATGTATTTAAAGTGGGGTGAGCACATTACTACAATAATCACAAAAGCTAACTCCTATATCTATGTCATACGCAGATTGTTCCAAACAATGACAGTAGCTGTGTTTCTCAAAATCTATAAGACTTATATATGGCCACTGCTGGAATATGGATATCAAGTGTGGAGCCCTTATTTCCAAAAAGACATAAACCTTCTTGAAAACATTCAGAGGAAGGCAATTAAAATGCCACAGGCTCTTCGACGCAAATCCTATGAGGAGAGACTACATGTATTACACCTCACTACTCTGGAAGAAAGACGCCTTCGTGGTGACCTCATTGAAACTTATAAAATTCTGATGAGTCAGTACAATCTACCAGCAATACAAAACATCTTTAAAAGAAAAGAAAACTTTAAACTGTCATCTGGCCACCATCTGAAACTAGTTATAGTAGTAATTTTTTCAGCAACAGAGTGGTGCACAATTGGAACATGCTACCGGAAGGTGTTGTTTCTGCTGTCTCTGTTAATGCCTTCAAAAACAAGCTCGAGAACTGGCTACGACAGAGTGAATCAGTGCTAAAAAAAGTGAACTAAAACAATAATATAAATTTCAACACTGTGTGATGTAGACATACCAGTTAAAGCAGCTCGTCTATAATGAAATAAATAAAAATAAATAAATGTATTGTGAAAAGTCATGGAACAAAAGTTGTTGTTTATGATGTTAGTATTATAGTCCTGCAAGGTTGTTAGTATTTTACAAATACCCCTGTAGACTCTCTTTGTTATTTTTCTATGTGCAACACAAAGAAAAATAACACAGATCAAATTAAGACAGCAATACAACAGGCAGTTTAATTACCTTTCTGAGTAGTTCTTGTCCATGATCTTGTTTTTAAAAAAGAAATAAAACTGCGGAAACGCGGATATGTGGGAGTCTTCGGCCAAAAGTCCTGCTTCATGAAGGTCGACAGATGTTCGGCCACCACTCTCACCAAAAACGAATTAAAATACGACGCCTGACGCTTATGTAGTACTCTGTATTTTTTTTACAAAACAAGTTTTCCAAATGACTAAAATACTTCTGTGCCCAAATTCGACATACATATAACAAACAAATCTATGCCTTAGAACCTACTAACCTTAACCTAACTCATAAAAAATATCTCTTTTCAGGTAAAAACCAGCTAGTCGGAGATATGCTATGTCTCGGAGGGTCATTGCTGTTCGCTATAGTGACAGTACTTCAAGAAATGATGCTCAAAACAATATCCTGTTCCCAGTATCTTGGAGCACTTGGTGTGATTGGCAGTATTGTAGCTTGCACTCAAACATTCTTCCTTGAATTCGGAGAATTAATCACATTCAACTGGTATGAATTGGAGACCATCATGCAACTTGGAAGCTACTCATCAATACAGATGATATTTCAAATATTAACAAGTTTTATGCTGAGAGATGCCGGCTCTATTCTACTACACTTGTCTTTTTTATCTGCTGATTATTATACTGTTATTGCTGGGATGTTTATCTTCCAGTTTAAGGTAAGACATTAATTTTTGAATAAGTATACCTACGTAAATGCTAGTGATGCAACAGAACTCCACCTTCTGCTTCCGCAACTGTGCCAGTTCAGTACGCTTTGCCACATCTGTTTTAGTTTATTTTTCCGCAATTGTATCACGGAAAAATCAGAAGTTTACAACGTTTGCGATGGGTCAGGTGCGACGTTTTTCAGCAGTTTTGTGTTGTGTTAACTGCAATTATGAAATAAAAACAAGCTCTGTTTGAAACTATTGCGTTGAGATCTTTATAGTATTTACGTTTCCGCTTCTGCATCGGCTCTTTCCTTCAAGATTTACTTTTAATATCTGTTTCCATTATCACTTCCGTTGCATCATTAGTACAGACCATAATTTCCTATTTTTGTAACTATGTTTTACGTAAATAAGTCATTTTTTGGCAAATTACAGAACTTTAAGTAGGCAGATTGAAAAAGCATAAAAACGTAGTCCCACTACATCTAAACCTTATTTTTTATGAATTTGGTTTATTCTATTATATTTGAGCGTACCTTGCATTACATTACTTTCGACGGTGCTCTATGCGTATTTTTAATGTTACAAATTTTTCAACGCCAATCTAACATCCTTGTATAAATTGTGTATTATGTTATTATCTTTTACCAGTTCCACGCTCTTTACTTCCTGTCGTACCTTCTGGCGATGGTGGGGGTGTTCTTATTCAGCGCGCGACCGACTGCGCCGCCGCCGCAACCGCCACGCCTGCCGCAGCTCGTTCATGACTCCGTGCAAACTCAGGACAACGTATCCATGTGAGATCTATAACCATTAACAACCTCGGTGACACACACGGGTTGCACTGTGGGTGTTGGATTATGGTGGTCCCGGATTCGATTCCCAATGAACCTATTTGGGAAATGGACCTTTTTAAAATGGTCTGCATGTTCCTACTCTGAATGTACCCCTGAGTAAAATCCGTTGCTTTGGTACTCATAGTTTTTACCCAATTTGAGACCGTAATTGCTGTGGTTTCTTAGTTAGATTATTGTAATATTAATATCTGAAGATTTTTAATTAGGTTTCGGAAACGTTGCTTGTTATTTTATTGCTTTTTTGGACCTGTCTATTGGACATTTATTTTAATGTCATTTCCTTAATGGTGACTCTGGACAACAGTGGGTCTCACCAATAAAGGCCCTTTAAGGTCATTGTTCAAGTTATTGAAACTCGTTTTGTCACATTAAATTTGATATTGATATAATATATATTACTGGTGGATGAGCAAGAAAACGATCCCAGAAGACTGTCGATGAATTTTTAAGATATTTCGATTAGCATTCACAGATTTTGAAAAAATGGTACAGTCAGCAAGATAAAAGACAATTTTCACGAAACTTTTTTCATGCCATACCATCCTATTTCTGCCAAAAATCAAAAGTCTCTAAGGGAACCTTGATAATGTAAGAAATATATAATTTTCCAGGAGTTTACTATTTTTAGTCTCTACCGGCCGCGTAAATCATTTGTGTTTAGCCTGTAGTTTTATTTCTAAATTCACTTCACATACACACTCAAAATTTTATACAAAGAATGATTGAAAGAATGAATGAAATGTTCTTTATTTACTTTTTTTTTTCAGGGAATACACTGTACCAACATTGGACTGCATACCAATAGAAGGTCTAGAGCCACCAATGAGTAGAGACACGACATTCACATCATTCCTGGGTGGTCCACAAACGAGTATGCCCAATGGAACAGTCTCATTTGGACAGAACGGCGTACAAAAGGAACCGTGCTAAGTATAAAAGTAAACATTCTATCTAATTATATATCTTGTGAACTAATTTGATGTGACAAACACGTTCCATAAAACACACTTTTGTTATAAGAAACCATTTCTAATTCAACATGTTACTTTCAATTCAGAGAGAGTTTCAAAATAGGTTAAAAAGCACAATCGAACAAATTAAAATATCTTCTTGTTTAAAATATCTTCTAATTAAAATATCGTGACTTAGACAAACTCAAACAGCCAGTACTTGCTCTAGTTGGCGCCAAAAGGTAAAAGTTCAATAATTGAAACAATTATAACTACAACAGCACTGGTGGCTAACCACCTCGGGTATATGTTGGCTCGTTTTCGTCCCTCGATAAAAAATATACTATTATATTTGGATGCTATTTTCATGTATAAAAATATATGTAATTATAAAATTTTTTATTCATGAAAATAGCATACATTACAAAATAAAATAATTATACACTTTAGTATCATATAAAGTAATATTGTAGAAAAAAAATTAATGTGGTTTACACCACTTTTGCACTGATAGCCTCAAAAATTTTTCGATTCTCCGATATATACACCCTTGAATACGTTTGTATAAAATGAATTTGTTTGAGCTCAAGACGTTCCATAAAATATTATGAAATGTATATCATACAGGTGAAGGATGAGTTTGGGACTAAACTGCGTCGTAACGGCCGTAAGGATTTGAATAAAATTTGATTGATATGTGTTTTATAAATAGACTTAGGTGATATTCCGCCTCAAACAATTTGTTTAGCACCTTTTCGATAGCACGTACAATTTTTGTGTGTAAACTAACTACCTACTAATAATTACTACTACTACTAGTATTTACTCGACTTTGATGGAAATCAAATTGAATAATAAAGAAACTTAAAGCCTCATTTACGGAGGCGCGACACGATGTGCTGCGCGTGTGGCGATTCTTCGAAATGCCTACAACGAAACGTCAAGCATAATTGGCGCGGGAAATATGAAACCTGGCGCCTTGTGTTTGAATGGGCGTGTTTGAATTCTTTTTTAAGTTCAAAAATCGAATCAGTCAAACGTCAATGTCAATGAAATAACCAATCAGGTGCCAACTAGCGACCTGCCCACTTGACGCGCTATACATCCTGTTGCATCTCAATAAACACGGATTTAGGATGCATAGAAATTAATTGGTGAAGCGGCATAAGCGGAACGATCTTAACAAATTTAAGTACAATACAGTCGCCATAGATATACAACAGAATAACGAGTATAACGTGTGAGCAAAGTCTTTATGGCCCACTAACACGGCAATGTTCATTTGATCACTTTATTTCTATTCACAAGTTTATATGTAGTTTTAGAAATAGTTATGTAAAGGCACTATAATTGTCTCACATACGCACAGTGTGCCAAGCCCGTGTGTGTCTGCCGACATAATTGTTTTTTAGGTTTAACACACACTAGTCATCACCGAGTTTTCGTGACGTTGTCAGCATTTTGTGACATTTGTAATATTGCTGATAAGTCGGACCTTTTAAAGTAAACATTTTTTTTAGTTTCTTAAGTATCTTTATAACGCCAATTTAAACTTTTTTCAAACTTGAAACTAATTAGCACTCTAAGAGTCGTATTCTAGAACTCTACTCAATGCTCAAGTCAGGACTTGAGTATTGCAGTGAGCACTGAAAATCGTATGATTTTCTACTCAAGTCCTTGCCATTAGGGTCGTAGTTCCAGTGCTTGAATTCATACTCAAGTCTGCTCAAATCCTGACTTGAGCATTGAGTACAGTTCTGGAATACGACCCCTAAACTCCTATCTATTTCTTTTGATTTACTCCAAATGACGCTCACGAGTAAATATATTATTAATTATAACACATAGTCTAAACACCGCACATTACGTTCCTATTATCTGAATACAGAAAGCAATGTCGTTTCTAGTCATTTTGTAACTAGTCAGTAAATGTATTAATTCAATATAGCGACATAGCGCACACAAAATAATCGAAATAGGGTACAATGCTCCACATTTTATTATAGTCGTAATTGTAATGTAATAGAATTTTTTAAACAAATAATTATGCTATGTAGATTTAAATAAAAAGCAATAATTGACAATTTTAAAGTGTGAGCTTCGCTGTTTCAATGAAGCGCCGTATATTATTCTCCAAATTGCGAAGTTTGGGGAATTCCTGAGTATGTGCATTATTTGCTCATAGAGTGTGTTCGGATGGAACGTATCAGGTTGCGGTTATTTCCACAGGTTGATTTTGTTACATTAAATGTTGGGTGCTTTCAATCCGTTTTGTGTGAGGCAACAAGTAGTGCCGCGAAGATTTGTACATATTATTGGTTACGTAGTATTTTGACAAGTCTGTTTGGATTCTGTTAAGTTTTTTTGTATGTATTTTCTTTTAATGGGGCTGGCATGTTTAATAATGATCAAAACCCCTAAATAAAAGAGTTTAAAAAAATCAGCAAAGTCGACGCGTTACCACCTTTAAGGGTTTTCTGTGTATAGGCAACAGCTGTAAGTAGCGATCACCCGCAATTTGCTTGTTCTTGTCAAGCAATGGCGTTTCAAAGCCAGATAATGTTTTTATTATGAACGAAAGATTTTGACAAAAAAATGGGCTAACAAAATAACTACAATCTCCGCTTGCAAATAAAACTTTTGGGACTGGAAAGGCTTTGCTAGTGTGATATTTGTAGGGTGATATTTTTTATTTATTTTACTATATCTCCGAGGGTGATTGATTCACCTATTAGTCCGAATATCTTTTGTATTTCAAATCAACCCTGTACCTTCAATTTTGATCCAGTTCTAGGACATTTTAATGGCTTGAGAGAGAAAAAACTGTAAATGTTTTGTCTATGGTCATCGTATTTCATTACATTGCAAGCACATTTCGATTTTATTATTAATTTCTAGAAAATACTTAATTTATGGTACGAGCGTGTTTTGTTTCATCCCGTTTTGTGTTCGCTTTTCTGGAGGCTCTTCAGTTATCACTTATCAGTTACATATCGGCCTATAATATACTACAGGACTTACTGTTGACCTTACTTGTGGCACCAGGAATTTCCGGCGTTAAATAGCGTCTCTTTGATTAATGTTTGCAATTCTTACCAACGACTTTACATTGAACTCGCACTTTTGCTTGAAACAGCGAAGGCCTTTACTCCAGAGGTTAGTAACTCATACTGCCACATCTCGAATTTTTACTCAATTTTTTAAACCTGAAAATTAGAAATTTGTATGAAGTTTTAAAGTAGTATCTATTAAAGGCATAGTGTATTGAAAATATTGGAAATGTAAGTTAAAAAATAGACATAATGTAGTCGATAGGATAATATTTACTCATTTAGTCAAATTTTGTTTGTAATAGTATGATTCCATATGTTTAAATATGACCAGTTAAATACAGATCTTTCGAAGTACATACGTTAATATAAAAAAAATTACATAAATTTAGGTTGTAGAATAAGTCATCATAGCTAAAAATACCCGACGATGGGTCAGGGTGGGAGACTAGGGCCTAAACCTCCTCCTCTAAGAGGGTCATATATGTAAGGGATATTAAAGTAACGTTGTGTTTGGAGAGAAAATATGATTCATGTATATCAAACATTTCATAATACTTTCACCTAGTTTACAGTTATAAGATAAATTATCAATAGTTTGCGTAAGGAATCATACTTTAATAAACATTATAAGATAATTTTAACTGTGATTCCTTTCATACTATTTCGAAATGAGGATATTATGAAAATGTTTGCTTTTGCTGTTATTCATTATTATTACTTTACTGTGGCCTTTCTTTTTAATATTTAAAGGAATTCTAGCTATGTTATGATGCTCAATTATTAATATTTAAGATTTTAAATTCTACTAGTCCATTAGTATAGATAAATCTCAAAATAGATACGGTGCGACGGCGGAAGCTATACCATACCTTACACGCGACGAGAGTAGTGTAAAAAGATAATTATTGTGCCAGGCAATTATATAATTGCCTCTTCTATCTAGGGCCCTTTACAGGTCTCATAGTCACGGTTGACTGGACATGGGACCTAAAAAAACAAATATACGCGATTTAAATCCGGAAAAATAGTTTCATTTCCTATATTAATTATAATTTAGCTTAAGATTTGCTGTGCTACACCGAAATTAGCTTGCCAGTTAGAACAGGGAGGAATGCCAGCAAAGATGCTCTGTTCTCCTCGTCGCACAGCTACCTAAGACGCAAAATAACTTCCGTGTTCATACTGTAACCAATAATAATGAATTTACTACAACATACTTACATAAAGTAGTAAAACTAATACATTGTTAATATGATTTACTTCTACAAAACCAAGTCAAGTTGAATTGTGATTTTATTATTTAAAATTTTTGTTTTAGTATTTGAAAATCCCTGTTAATACTTTGAACTAGTTTTTAACACATTCCAAATTATATAGTATGTATTATGTACTTATGTATAGTCGGATTTTTAAATAGATATAGCAAATTAACAAGATCAAAAAGATAAGAAGAGATAAATCATCACTTTGAAAAATAATGTTGCCGTGTTTATTGTATAGTGATGTGTTTGGCACAGTTTTTTTTAAGTAAATGGACTTGCTCTTGACCACTAGCTAGACCTGGACAAAGAATAGATAGGGTCTACAATGGAACGAGCTCCACCAGAAGATGCCTATTATTACTAATGAACTCGCTGAAATGGAATAATCCAAAAAGAAACGTTAAACGGCCATCCTCGGACTAGTGTTCACTACCTAATTTCCGTGGCATTTTGTATTATTTAAATATTCAAGTATCGTAATTATTAAATAATATTATTAGATACAATCATTGACATTAGATACAATCATTGACTTACAAATAAATGGACGACGGGTCTAATACAAAAACCACGAAAAAAAATGTCCCAAGTCAACCTATTTAAACTTAGTGACATGTAAAGGAATATGAAAACACTAAAACGTTGAATTTAAATTGTAATGTCATCGCAGTACTGTCTAATTTTGCTTGCTTCGCTGTCAGTCGAACAAAAGAAGACTAAAGCGTGAATGACGCTCTGTATACGATTTTAACGCCCTATAAGTTCGGACACTTTTTAGCGCGGACCCGACGTCCATATAATTGTAAGTCAATGGATACAATACCCGAATATTACACAATATTCGAATATTGTGTAATATTCGAGTATTGTGTGTGCGTTATATTATAAAAAAATCGAATATTTAAATAATAAACATTGGCACGGAAATTAGGTAGTGAAACACTAGACCGAGAATGACCGTGA